AATTGTTCCATAGTTGATAAACTCATTGGGACTCATATTTCCAGCACACGGAGGAATCAGGGAGCCAGAATTGCCTGGGGAACGGTTGACTCAGTGGGTTGTGTCATCTGAACCTTTGCATACAAAGTACCCAACAATATTTTGACTGGCGCACTGTGTGAACCCAGCCGTATGCTTGCTTTCTGGGCAATGATTCCTTTTTGACCTGAGGCAGAGGGTCATGGAGGAGCCTAACCTGGAAATGGTCCTCCCCGGAAGAATCTTGTTGAAATAAATGATACCATGCTTTGGGGGAACACAGGCATGACTCACTTCCAGCATGCAGACTCAGTTTGGTGTAACTAGACATTCCTTGACATCATTCCTTGTCAAAGATGTCAAGGAATAGTTGTCGGAAATGTGTGATATATCACTTTTGGAAAAGGCAATATTTTCTACTAACCAAAGGATGCAACAATACTACGGCACAGATTTTGTGATATTTTACAATAATATCTTGTATTGTTCATATTACAGTAGTGAATTCATTGGTAAAACTATTGGTAAGTGTAAAATATATGTTACCTAGTTGGGTAATGAAGCCATCAACCAAGCTCAGAGAGCCCCAAGAATTCCACCGTTCAACCCTGAGCTATAGATATTCTTTTCTCTAAGTATGAAATAGAAGAGATTTTTTCTTTTCTTTTTTTAATGTTCCATCTTAGTTTGTATGTTTGGTTTGTATTTTTAATTTTTTTTCATTCTTTTTCTCTTTGAGATTCAAGATTGCTTTGTTAAAAAAATAAAGTTAAATTATTTTTTTTAAAAAACGCGATGTAACTAGAAGTTGGAGAGATTCCCTGTGCCTTACTTCCAATTGTGTATTGCAGGGAGCAACTTGGAAGTCCTCTGTCCTGATCTTCTCGTCTCCATCACCCAAGCAGGATGCAGTGGCTACCCTACCCTTGAATCCCCGGAGAACTGTAAGAGAACGGCATCTATCTCAAAGTTAATGGCAGGGTTGAGCTCGTGGGCAGCAGGGTGCTCCTAAGACATCCTTGGTCCCTACCTAGCTGCCATTGATATTTTTATTTTCAAAGATGGTCTATATAGGGGCCAGGAATATTCTTATCTACTAGGAGTAGTCAACTTTGGTTGGTTGGAGAAGACATCTTTAATATTGGGGAAAGAATAAGAGTGGCCATGGGTGGGGCTGACCCATTTGGGGACAACCCATGATGACCCTTTTCCCCCCAGACGACGACGACAACAACAACAATAATAATAATAATTTATTAAACTTGTATGCTGCTTATTTCCCAATGACTCTGGATGGCTCACAACAATCAAAAAAATTACAATAAGATCAATAAAAGATAAATGATGACAAGTGAGATGAAGTGAGGAGGTCACGTCTGGCTGGGGAATCCTGGGAGCTGAAGTCTACACATCTTCAAGTGGCCACGGTTGAGAAACACTGCTTTAAAAGTTCTAACTCCACTGTTTTTTGTTTTTTTTTCAAATGAACTTTTAGACAAGCTCAGCGTTTCAGGAGAGCTGATGCTTCTCACAGCAACCAACATCTGGGGTGCTCTCAGAGGTAAGATGGGGCAATTTTCCATCGCTGTCTTTGTAGCCTCATACTCTGACTTGCTCCAACTGATGTGGTTGTGCCTTGTTGTGTAGGATTAGAGACCTTCAGCCAGCTTGCCTGGAGGGATGATGATGGGACAGTGAGTACTGCTCTTTTTAAACAGGGGATATTAGGGTGGGGTTTACGATTTCTGTTCAGTTGTTAAGTGCTTTGTTGGGTGTGACTTTGTGTGTTGAGTGAGAGCAGGTATTGGGGTTTGTAAATGGAGCATGTGGTGTAAACCCAACAGTTGGGGCTTACTCAACAAGCCATATTTAACCAAAGTCGTGGATTAGTGCAGTCATGTCAAGGTTGAATAAGACCCAACTAACTGGATTCATCCAACCTGCTGAGGCAGAAAATCCAAATAAGTTGCATGATTTAATGTGATCTATGAGAATAGACAGCTGGTTTGGTGTAGTAGTTAAGGCACCAGGCTAGAAACCAGGAGACCATAAGTTCTAGTTCCACCTTAGGCACAAAGCCAGCTGGATGACCTTGGGCCAGTCACTCTCTCTTGGCCCTAGGAGGAAGGCAATGGCAAAGCACTTCTGAAAATGTTGCCAAGAAACTGCAGGGACTAGTCCAGACAGTTGCCAGGAGTCAAGAATGACTCAGACACACAGACACAAATGAGTATTTCCTTCCTTCCTATCTGAAGCTTGATCTCATTCAAGCTGTCACTTGCAACTTGCTTTGCTAGCTGTTACTTTGTTCTCCAAAGGACTTTCCAGCCTAGCAGTGTGGGTCCAGGGAAGAGTGTGTGGCAGCTAAGTGCCTCATAAATCCTAGACTGGAATTCTTGAAGAGCTTGTCCTCCAAACACAAGGCCTGATTTTCACTCCCTTTGGAGAAGGCAGGATTGGCCCCTGGAAGAACTCTACACTGGACATTGGGTCAACTGTGCTATCTTCTCTCTTATATAGTTCTACATCAACAAGACAGATGTGGTTGATTTCCCCCGCTTCCCTCACCGAGGTCTGCTACTTGATACATCTCGCCATTATCTACCTTTAAAAATCATCCTGGAGACTCTGGTAGGTGAATCTGGAAGCAATGGCGGGAAGATCCTGAGAGCTCTTGTGTAATCTTGGCCACTCTGCAGAAGCTCTTGGTGTGGCTCAAATCAGATGATTCCTCACTGAACATGTTGTTATATTGGGTGACTTAATTCATTTTCTCTATCACCACCATCATCATACCTCCACAAATCTTGGGGTCTTCTGATGTTTCCCTCTCATGTTTGGGTGGCACCATGTTGTCTGTGCAAGGAGGTGCATTCATGTCTGCACTTGAAATGGAAGGATTGGTAGGACAGCCGGTGTGGTTTAGTTGTTTAGGGTTGGACTCTCCCAAGGGAGACCCAGGTGTAGTCCACATTCAGCCATAGAAGTGTTGGCTTTGTGCCAGCCATGTTCTCTTAGCCCAATCAATCTCCCAGAGTTGTTGTGGGGAAAAATGGAAGGAGGAATGCTATATATATTGCCATGTACTTCTGAACTAATGGTGGCATATGAAACTAACAAATAAATTCAAACTATCTGGTCTAGGTTGTTTTCACATGAGATCACCAATAATCCTGCTTCAGCATTATTCTGCCTTTCATAAGGAAAAGAAAAGCTGTGTGAAAACCTTTTCTTCAAAATTCCTATATTTGTGTAGAATTTGAGGGTTTGTCTATGGCAGTTTTTCTCAACCTTGGCAACTTTAATACATGTGGACTTCAACTCCCAGAATTCCCCAGCCAGCCTGGGAGTTGAAGTCCACATGTCTTAAAGTTGCCAAGGTTGAGAAAAACTGGTCTATGGTATAAGAAAGAAAACTGTGTGGAACAATATCTCAGGGCAAGGTTTAATGGGTGGGGAAGACTTCTTATAAGTAACCACATTCAGAATATCTTAATGGTCTTTGTGGGTTTTCTGAGCCATAGGTGAACTCTTGATCCATCTCACAACTGTTACTAATGAATGTCCCACCGGACATGGGAGCAAGGGGCCTTTCTAACCTCCTTCCATTTCCTCAGGATGCCATGGCATACAACAAACTTAACGTGTTCCACTGGCACATCGTGGATGACCCATCGTTTCCATTTGAAAGCATGGTATTCCCAGATCTCAGCTGGAAGGTGAGCTGTCCCATCTCCCTCTGAGCCTCTGCCAATCTGAGTAATTGAGGGGATTCCTTACGTCCTATGGAGCTTGGAGGCCTTTGGGCCTCCGCCCCCCAATTTGACCCGAGAACAACAGGTGAAAAAGAACGTTTTCACTGAAACTGAATGTTTTCACTTTGCAGCATTCTTCTCCCAAAGGAAGCTGAAGAGTTATTTGTTAGGGGCATTTCATCTTGATTTCTGTTTCAGGGTCTCAGTGGTTCTTTCTAGGTGTGTTAAATCAGGGTTCCTCAACCTCATGGGTTGAGGGTGGACTTCAACTCCCAGAATTCCCCAGCCAGCCAGGGAGTTGAAGTCCACCCATCTTAAAGTTGCTGAGGTTGAGGAACCCTGTGTTAGGTAACATTGATGTGGCATGCAAGCAATATTGCCTTATTTTCTAGAAAAGATTTCTAGATCAGGGCACAGAGTATGATCTTCTCGCACTATCTTGTATGCTAGTTGAAACTGCCTCGGTTGATTTAACCCTTTGAGAGCCAGCAAGAACTCTGCCAAGCACTATAGTCCTCACCTAGATATAAAATTTGAAGGGTGCAGCTCTTTCACTCCACCATGACTTTGCCACTCAATAGGAACCTGTGACAGTCTTATTTTTTTTTTTTGTTTAGGGATCCTATAACTCGGCCACCCACGTGTACACTGCCAGCGATGTGAAGACGGTGATTGAATATGCCCGGCTACGTGGAATTCGAGTGATTGCAGAATTTGATACTCCTGGACATACCCTCTCTTGGGGACCAGGTAAGAACTGTCTTGGGGTGAACAGAGAAACATGAGCTCGGGTTTCTTTGAACCCACATCAGTGCTGAGTTGGAATCTGAATAGACCCATGTGTAACCTGAAGGATTGTGCTGAATGTGTCTGAGAACAACCTGCTTCCCAGGAAGGAATATTCAACTGCTAAAGGCAAGATTTTAGTCTGCTTTGTCGGTTGAAACAGAAGGAGAGAACAAAGCTGTGCATCATTTAAACATTCCCATCTGGATCAGCCGTTCCCAACCTCCAAATGTGCTGGGCTGAAAATGCCCTGAGAAACCGTTAGCCTAGGGATTCTGGGAGCAGTAGACGTCCAGAGTTTTTGCACTTCACCTTCTTCCCAAAAGCGTTAGGGCTCTGATCAGCCTGAGCCACAGTGTTGTCAATAAGGACTTCATTCTTATAAATTTGGGTGTTTTCAAATGTGTCACATGCATGAGCAGAACGTATCACTTAAATGCACTTGATCAGAAGGCGTCTGGTGGCACCTTTGCAGGCTAGCAGATTGTATTAAAAGGCCTAGATTTTTGTGAACTATAGTTCACGAAAGTTTATGTCTTTTAATAAGATTTATTAGTTTGAAACAGTACTACCTTTCGATTTTTGGTTACCGTAGACTAACACAGCTCTCCTCCTATAATATCTAATTGCACTTGGTGGCTTTGTGGGTTTTTTGTTGGTTTATTTATTCCCTTATCCATCCTTCCCTCCCTCCCTCCATTCCTTCCTTCCTTCTAAATCCCAGGTGTCCCAGGCTTGTTGACTCCATGTTACGTGTCCACAAAACCCTCCGGGACCTATGGGCCAGTCAATCCCATTCTCAACTCCACTTACCAATTCATGGCCACGTTTTTTGCTGAAGTTAGTGCCGTCTTCCCAGATTTCTACATTCACCTGGGAGGAGATGAGGTGGACTTCACCTGCTGGTGGGTTTTGTTTTTCCCTGGGGCATGTGGAAGGGGAAGGATGGTGAGAAGGCAAATGTGTGGCAGGGTGAAAGGAAGCGTGTTGCGGTGGTGGTTGATGACATCCTGGGATGGGACCAGCTAGGAGATAAGTGGCCATAAACCATACATTGAAAAACCTGCCATGTTCACACATAATGTTGCACTAAGATGGATTCTGATGTGAAAATAGAAATGTGTCCCACACAGGGACATAGATATCCATGCTTCAGAGGCACCATGACTCATCAGCAACTAACTTAAATACATTAATCAACAGCCCTAACTGTCTGGTGGCATATTTTACTCCAGTGAATCATTGGAGACAGCTGGGATGAACACAGGTCAGGTAGAAACCAAAGGAGTGGTGGTGAATGGGTATTAGATACCTGCTGGATTCACACTTTTCACCAAGCCCTAATATGTTCTAACCTTGCTTTACTTAAGTAATCTTGTTTTGTCAAGTAAGCCACAATTGGTGGTGGTCACACAGCATGCTGTGTCACAAATCACAAGGGCTGAGTTCAAAAACATGCTAAGGTAAATCTTGTGGGCTGGAATCATGATTGGTCCAAACGTTAGTGTGATAGTTTCCTCTTCATGTAGCTGAGGTATTTATAAAGCATGAGGATGCTTCCATTTTTATTCTTGCTGGTCTACAAAAGAGTCCTTTATGGCACTAGGGTTTGGAGATCTTGAGGACTCAACTTTGATCCAACCCTTCTATTTCCATATAGGAGGTCTAACCCAGATATCCAAGCTTTCATGCAGAAAATGCAATTTGGGCAAGACTATGCCAAGTTAGAATCCTTCTACATCCAAAGGTAAAGTGGTCCTTCCTCTCCATTGCTAAGAATTTGTTTAGGGCAAGAACATAGGGCCACCCTCCCTCCAATCGAGGCCCTCCCCGTAGATTGTGCCACACCTCCCATCACTCTCAGCCAAGCCAGGGTGCAGATTGTGTCAGTTCTCCAGACAAGGCTTCTGAGTACACAAGGGTAAGAATTATGCTGGGAGGCTGCCTGAGCTGAGCCTCCTGTTTTTCCTTGCCCTCAAATGTACCTCCCACCCCGTGTCAGGAGACACTCCCGACTTGCTTGATAGTTGCCAAGTGAGGGCAGGCACAAGGCAAAGGTCTGATGCGGGAAACTGGAATGGGCTCGCAAGATGCTCTCTCCTTTGTTTGGTTCTTCTCTTTGCTCCAGATTGCTGGCTATAGTCTCAGCCTATCACAAAGGTTACATGGTGTGGCAAGAAGTATTTGATAATGGTGTGAAGGTAAGGATCATGCTAGGAGAACTCAAGATGCCCTGTGGCCTTAGGCTGCTTCTCTTCCCTCCCATCCCTCCCACAGCTTTGCAGAATTGCTTCCTCTCTGTTGAAGTGGAAATGTGTTTTCTTCTCCTGCCTCTCCACCACCACCCACCCCTAGACGCTACAAGGCTAGCTATGCAGTGGTTCTACTCAAAGGCTGTAACATTTGGACACATTACAGGCACAGCCTTGCTTCACGTCTTCCTCCCAGCTTACACACAGAGCTCCTCTTCATTTCCTATTTTATCATCTAAAAGTCTTAGATCAACTGATTTTCATCCATTTTTGTAGCTGAATATTGTTATCTGGGAAGAGATCTAGCTGTCCTTAAGTAGTTCTTGATCATGGAAGTTCTCGTCCTGACTCAGTCATGCTTTGATCTTCTCCTGATCTTTGGCACATCATTGTTTTAGCCCAGTTTAGCTTGCTATTGCCTCTCCACGCACCCGTGCATTCGGATGGACTGCGTGAACTTCATTGGACTGAGTATTCATCATATACTTCATTAAGCTCATTATCTATCATGATGACTGGAAAAGGCCATTTGCTGGACAAGCCTGCAAAGAGGCAACATTCCAGTCAAATAAGGATGGATTCTGGTTCAGCTAATCCTTGGATAATCTGTGTTTCCAAAATGCCTTCCCAATACCAGGGTTGAAAGTACGTGACGGACGTACTTTGAATGAATGCAACAAGATGCCTTTGAACCTCTGCTCCCTCCAGAAATGCATTTATTATTTATTTGTTGCATTCTTAAAATGCTCAAGGAGGCATACAGGGGTGTCGTTTCTTCCCACATAACAATCCTTTGAGATGGGTTGGGCTCAGAGTGAAAGCCTTTAAGTCACCCCATGATGTATGTGGTCAGTTGAGACTTGGACCTGGGCCTCCCAGTAATGTCAATGTTGGCGCCCACTGGCACACAGATCTTTTCTTATGCACATACCACTCCCATCGATTGCCCCTTCCTGGACCTCAGTCCTTGTTCCATTCTCTGCTTTGGCCAGGTGAACCCTGATACAATCATACACGTGTGGAAAGGGAGCCCCATCTCCTTTCAAGAGGAGATGTCTCGTGTCACCGAGGCCGGTTTCCGGACCCTGCTCTCCTCCCCTTGGTATTTGAACTATATTTCTTATGGGCAGGACTGGTTGACAGCATATCGGGTGGAACCCCTGGCCTTCAAAGGTGAGTTTTTCCCCAATGTAGCCCCATCTCCATGGAGGTGTGATTGGCACCAACCTAGTATTCTATGTAAGTTTCAAGTCAAACCCTGTTTGCATTAACTGACTTGTTTGCTCAGTTGTGAACACTTATTTTATATAACCCCTGCTTTTTTGTTATATTTGTCTTTAGTATTTATGTATAGGGTTTGTTTTTATAGTGGATTTTTATGGATTGAGTAATT